TAATCTTCGGGTAATAATTAATTTCATATCAATTGTCCTTCCGTATTGCCATTGTAACTTGAACACAACACACCAAACGAGCAGAAATCTTTGGCTCCATTACTGGCAGAAAAACCACATAAACGAGAATGAAATGAAAATAATATTTTACATCACGTATATGTACATTATTACATGAGTAATACAGTGGCGTAGCTAGGGTTTTGAATTGAGAAGGTATACATACGTTTTTGCTTGAGACATGGGTCAATCTAAAAGAGGGTTAGGAGTTTTAACAATCAAACAAAGTTAGAAAAAAGTTTTTATCAATATGTATTTTAATATGTTAAACGAAAATGTGTATAAAAAAAACTCAATAAGCTATGAAAAAAAAAATGCAATGTTTCTTGGTGTAAATTGTACTTATTTCCTTTTAACAGCTGTATATTTCTAGGAAAACTCCGAGCAAATACAGTAATTATATCATTTTTGTTAATGTCTTATTTGTTTTTTTATGCATATTAGTCATGGCTAACTAACCAACTGAGTCTATTTGCTGGCATAATGTTGTTCTTCTTCAAATCGTTTTCATACTGTGTTGCAGTGGATTTAGAACGTTTTTTTAGGAGCGAAAGAAATAGCCAGAAACATAGTCAATACTATCGAACCGTAAAATAGTATGTCGTATGTACACAAACACAGTATAGGAGGCTATGTTATAGTCTCTAAATCCCCTCCTCTGGCTACGGTTCTGAAATAGTAATATATTGAATTACTCTAATAAGCGATAGAGACAATAATATTGTCCGCGCACGATTGTTCGGTTCGACGCGGTTGTTTGTAGAAGTCCAATAGATTTTCAAAATGGGAAACTCGCGATTTCGTTACTTTTACAATTTTTAATTATTATTACCGCTGTATGTACGTCGGCCGAGGGCACGCACAAACGATACGAGAAACAACGATAGGATATTATTATAGCCGTTCGAGGCGTTTTTATTAATAAACTTGTACGGTGTACTTATATAACTATCGCGAGCGGGATATATCGGAACTTAAAATTACAACAATTTAATCGCAAAATCGTCCCGAATGTTTCTATAGGCGAGTATCAGCTATACTAGACGGTTATACTGAAAACGAACGCTTCTATATAATCGTACATTATTGTTATAACAAAAACGATGATAATAAATACATTTCGATAATCGACAAAAAAGGTTCAAAGTTTTCGAGTCGGGGCTTCAAAACATTTTTGAAGCGTTATTATGACGGTAAACGATTGAAAATTTTAAATCGATAACGGCCGGTAACATTTTTCACTGGTTAACATTTTACGATCGACTCGACTTAACTGAACAGATATTATTAATTAACTCACACTGCGTTGCACTTGTGTAGTACTGCGATCGTGCACTTTTTATCCGCAAAAACACAATCGGATTACGACTTTTCCACCATACGTTTTTCACAAAACACACGTGATTGCGCGTAATACAATGTAAAAAATTACGAAATAACGTCCGAAAGTGGTTCGAGTATTATTGCGAACAATTATTTCAAACGTTTACAAAGGAAAATAAAACAAATTTAAAAATAAATTACAATTTTCACACTGTCCCGAAAGCCTATGAAATATTAATTATATTCGGTTGTATTAAAAGGACGTTTTACCCTCATCTACCGTCTCTGTCCAACTACCCGATAACATGTAAAAACGCAGAATAAGTAAAACTAGCTTCATTTTGATTTAAGAATAAAAGTGTTTATTATAAAATTTATAGAGAACAATATTTCGGAAGGAATGTCATAGAGTTTTTGTATTATGAGAAATATACAGCTCGATATAAAAAATACAAAAACATTTTTTTGTTTTTTAAACAACTGTAACATTTCTAATATTTCATAATTCAAAAAATGGGTATGAAATCCCCTCTAAAATATTGTTCTCTATAAATTTCATAATAGATACTTTTATACTTCTAATAATAGGAACCTAACCTAACCTAACCAAAATCAAAATTTTAATTAGTTTTACTAGCTAACAAGCTAGTTTTACTTCTTTTGCGTAAGACTCGTTTTTGCATGTTACCTAATAGATGAACTGAGACAGTAGATGCGGGTATCCAACGTTCTCCTAATCCTGTAAACGGTTAGGTTCGTGAATGTTTATTTTGTTTTTGCGGTACAGTATTAGTATAGGTATGTGGCGTGCGTGTGTGTTTTTTTCCGTAAGTACGAAGAGCGAGATGAATAGGTGGAGAAATGCGCAATCCGGGTTGTTTTTTCGCGGGTTAAAAAAGAAAAAAAAAAGGGAAAAATGCGCAATCGTATTGCATCCCCGCGCGCGTGGGTTACCTATACCCCACAACAATAATATAGTGAGTATACACATATGGGTAGTGAGTACATTACGGCAACAATAATAATATAAATCATTGTTGGCATTATAATTATGACGTAATCCAAAGGTCGGTACAACAACAATAATAATAATAATAATAATAACGTACGAAATTGAAAAACAATTGAATTACGTTCGGTTATACAAACAGCTGCGGCGGGAACGGGTTTGGTAATGCGCGTATTTGTTGCAAACGAGCCGGTGTCCGTACGAGTATAATATTACTGTGACGCGAGTTCTCGTGTATATTATTATATGCACGATATTATATTACTGTTATTATTATTGTATAGGCGCGGAGGACGGCCGTAAACAATTATAACGTATTTAAATCCTTTGGAATCGGTGTACTGCGCGAGAATATTGTTCGTAAGTTTGGACTTGTTATAATAATTGAACGTACACTACATTATCGTATAATACCCCGACCGAGCAATACGCGGCGCCACCTGGATGGTAAAGCCGCTCTACCGAGTGCCCGTGGTTTTGTCAACGTACGTTTGATTTTCACCGCGAGTAAACACCGTTAGTACATAGTTATTATTATTATTATTATTATTAGAGATCGGATTTATATTCTCTTACAATCCACAAAAAGGCGCTTTAAAACATCAAAATATCCTTGAAAAAAGCATTTACTATCATTTAAAAAAGCAAAATAGAGTTTAAAAGTCCCCCCCCTCCATTAATGGCTTTAACTTATTCAATTAAATTTTCCAACACTACAAAATTGATTCATACAAAATAATTTCTTTTAAATAAAACCATATGTATTATAAAAAAAAATAGAACGGACATACTTCACACGTGGGTACGGCTACTTTCAAAGGTGGAAAATGGGGAAGGCAGGATACAGATGGGAATTTGATGTATATCTGTAAACAACGATAAACCATTGCTAACGAAAAAACGATCTAAGCGGAATTCAGTGAAAGTGTTGCTTTGACAACAATACATATGTCATATTATAGGAAAATGATTATAACAATGTGCATTACCATGACAACAATGATTGTTTAAAAAAGATTTAAAACAATAACAATAAATAAATAAAAAACGTTTGTCAATGGTAAACATATTTTCAATCTTTTAATCTATTTTAACTTAAATAAACGGGTTTTCCTCATTTTCTCGATAATTATATCAATGAGAATTTCAAAAAATGATATTTCTAAAGAACCACCAAAGAACATTTAATTTTAGAAAAGGCGCTATACTTGATAATTGAAGTATGCTTTCTGGTAGAAAAAGGCAATTTTACTCTGATTTTCAAGTGTAGTAAGCTTTTTAGAAGGAAATCTTACTGGGGTTGTACTTTAAGGAGGTCATTTTTTGATTTTCCAAACTTTTTTCATAATTAATGGGAAACATTGGGAAAAATAATGGGAAAACCCTGAAAAAACGTAGGCAAAATTGAAAAATGTATGAAATGTATTATTTTCGAATCGTAAATATTACGGCTAATTAAAATATGTGTAACGAAAGTTCAAAATCGTTTTTCGTTAACAAAAATACTGTACAGATACGTACAATTGCGTACAGATACCTATTAAATTCTTCTCTATATTCTACCTTCCCAATTTCTAATCTACAGGTGGGCCACACATTGTACGTAGTATGTCCGTATTTTTTTCTTTCAGGTTTTTTCCAACGATTATTAAAATGTCCAGAAAAACAAATGACCTTAAAGCACCAACTAGATTAAAAGTAGACAAAAAAGGTCTCTTGTCTTTTATTGATTGGAACGAGGTTGGGTTTAGTAAAGTTGTTCACAAAAAAAAAAAAAAATACATTATAGTAAAACTAATAAATACCTCACTATGTCCTGAATTTAAAAAAAAAACTTACAACTACCTATCTAATTTAAAAAAATAAATATCCGAGATACTGTATAGTATAAACTATTATTTTTTTTTTAGTACATACTATTTAAACGTGTACCCTTTTTCTTCTTCAATTTCGTGGTTTGTATAAAAACAATTATGTTAAGTTAGCTATATAATTATATACTAATATTTCAGACATATTTTTCCCGATGTAGGTAAGTGCGGTTTTTATAGTTTCGCCCCGTCCCAATTTTTTCAATAAACGAGGAGATGTATGTAATAAAATTCAACCGAAATTAATGGGAAAACCGTCAAAACCGTCACACGTATAATGTAATCCTAATGGTATAGTACCGAAAAGAATTCGAAAGCTCGGTTCCGCATATCCAGTACACTTAAAGAATGAAAATATTCCAAAATATATAAAATGCGTTATTATTCAGTACCTATATATATACGAGTAGGTACAACGGTAATTTGTATGTGCAATCGCCTTCGTCGTCGTCGTTTTGACGTATTATCATAAGCCTGCAGCTGAGGTCTACACGTAGGTATATATTATATATTATAATATTATTTCCATGATAAAAAACCATCCCCGGTGTTGTATTATTATTGTCTCGCACGCAGATATAGTCAAATAAAACAATTTTAGAAATTTAATATTATATGAAATTCTGGGTCGTAAATTTTATTTTAACGCCCGTCCCTTACAAATAAATGGATACTGATATATATATACACACGTATACAGTATTATAGTTATGTTAGTGCAGATATACGAGCTATATCATTTATCCCGTTTAGTTAATAATTTCTAGCCTTTGCGCACACATGTCCTCCCGGGTTAGCAGTAGTAGTCGCGAGCAGCGTTTTCACATTAAATATATATTATATATATAATATATAATATTATATACAGTTTACATTGGACTCTTTTATAGCATTATAACGCTACGACTCGGCCATTTTTTTCTCTTCGTCGTCGTCGTCGTCTACGGGGATAGTTCGCATTAATATCTTTCTTTTTCTTTTTTTTTATTAATCCCTACACCCGCCTAGCTATTACACGTTAGACGCGAGTATTTTGACCTCGTATTATCGCCGAGTCCTTTCTGTTAAGCTTTTTCTCGGTCTTCGTTTCTCGGACTATACCTATATAGTATATAGTATATATATATATACCAGTCTATATTAATTATACAAACACAATATTAATTATATGTAAGTACTAAGTACGTTTACAAATATAATTTCAAACGGTGTAATATTGAACGTTCCCGCTGCACCTACAAGAAGAGACCAATATTGATCGGTGAACAATTATTATTGATTTATCGAATGATAAATAACTTTTAAGTCCGGTTCACATACGGTTGAATATTTTTTCGAATTACAATATTACGTCACAATTAATTTTTTTAAACATTGCTAGATGCGTTGAGCAAATCGATGTATACGAACATTCGTGTATCCAATATTTACATTTTAACATAGGCCGTTTCGTGCTTTTTTCTTGGGTATTAATTTGCGAGGATCGTCAGTGGACTTTTAAATTTTTGATCGGTATTCATTCGACAGTGCGAACCATGCTATCAAATATTCGTAAAGTTATTTTACCATTAGGTGTAAACCAAATTACCGGAATAAAATAAAATTCGTTTCCGTGGAATTGTCTTTAAAACATATTATTAGCCTTTAGGTTTCTAAAAATTAGCCTAGAGCACCTTACATCACTGAAGTGTCCGTCTCCGTTCGTATAGTTCGTGGAAAATAGTTAAGGTGTACGATATAAAAAAAGCTAGACACCGCAGCCAAAAAAATGATGTTCTCATTGATTCTATAGGTATCGTTCTAATCACAATATATTCACTATACTCACGTTATTATCGCAATATCGCAATCTTGTCACAATCGAAATAAAAATAGTTATATTTTATTTTATGATACATATGTGACGAGTAATATAAAACTAATATGAAATTGAAAAATAAAAGTATTAGAGTTAAAAGGCAACATTAGAATAACATTTTCTGCCTCTATCTATCTAATGGGCAATACAGCAAATATGTGTTTTCGTATTTCTAATAATAAGTATTCAGAATTGAATAAACAACAATTATTTTATCATATTAAAGATGAAAACATTAACTACCATTTCACAGGGGTATGTATGTTTTTCGAAGTATTTGTTATAGGGTTTTCTATTAAAATGAAAAGTAATAAAAAATATTTTTTTCTTTTTTAAGTTTAAAGTGCGAATAGATTATCTAGGAAATGGATATCAACACAAAATACTATCAGAAGTACGAAAATGAATTTGTGCTAATTGCCCGTTAGATAAACAGATACAAAAATTGTTGCCGTGACGCCCTAACATGTAGGTAAATTAATTGATTAGTTACTTTTTACTATAGTACTTATGACTATAAAGTATAATTAGGTATCTTCAAAAATATTGAAAAATTATTATTAAGTATCATTGTTATTTTTAATTATTAATAGGTTGCTGACATAAAACATACCTACTACTAATCCTCAAATGCAAATGAAATGATTATAGTTTTGTATCATTGTGTAAGAATATAAAACTCAAACTTTTATATCATAATAACTAACATAACAAATTATTTATATTAAATTAAGTATTATTTTGTACACATGATTTTCGGATCCTGTACACAGTAGTTGCCTTTGTACAAATCAAATTCATATTCGTTATTTCCAATACTGCGGATAATGGGAGTTTTATTTTATGCATTTCATTAACTCATAAAAAGATATATTTTGTAAACTAATTAATCATTACAAGGACCGCAATTATTATGTTGTAATAATAACGATATGACTAATTAAAACGACGCAACGTATTTCACTGCGGCGCTTGCAGCGTATAGCGGTTCTTTTATCGCTTACGGTTAAGTAAAGGAGATATATATTTTTCGTAACATTATTATTATTATGGATTAAAATATTACAAGTGTTAAAGATAAATTCATACAAGCCAATATTACTCGTAAAAAAAAAAACTGATATTGCTAGTGCGCAACTGCTGTAAGTGAAAAGTTGAGAAGGTAGGACATATAATATAAAAAATGTATACGTACTTTCCTTTACTTAGTTATTTAACTTATATCTGTAAGCAACGATAAATCATTGTTAACGGAAAATGCTCGTGAGCGAATTCCATTTATACATGATTTTAAAGGCCATAATATTTACGATTTTCATCAGAATTTGATATTAAAATTCATATGAAAAAAAAAACTTTTTTAATTCGACTTTTTCATGTTGAACACTAAAAATAACTAATAATGAACCTTTTGTTAAATTCCAAAGTATTTCGGTTTGGTCAAACAATGATATCAACATAGTGCTGACCAAATAAAAACTACATCAAAACTCACAAACAAAAAATGCATGTAAATAGCTCAATAATTTTATCACGTTTAAAAAAAGCAAACATACATTTTCAGTCAACATTTAAAATCTCTATGAATATTTTTAACTGAACAAGTACAAAATTGAAAATAATGAAACCATTATTTCCATAAACTTTCCCGTTCTTACCATTTTTTTTTTCGGTTTTGGTCTTTCATTAAGAAAAATGCATAGAAAATTTAATAAAAACTACTTTTTTCTGCACCAGCTGGATTCAAAATTCAATAAAAAAAAAGGTCTCTTTTAATTTTTCAAGTTGAGCAAGTTTTCTGTTTGACATAAAAAAAAATATACATACATTGTAATAAAACCAATCGATCCCTCGTTTTGGTCTAAATCTAAAATAGGTACCAAAATGTAAGTTGCTGCTTAACAATTTTTAAAACTATCCTAAAATAACTGTTTAAAAATTGGGATAGTTAATTAGTTTAAGTTTCTATCCGTAAGCATAACTGTCTAGATTATCTGCGAGTTATTTTAAAACTGTAGTTGCAATATTATAGTTTTATTGTTCGTTTAGACTTGTTTTAAATTATAGAAGCGCATATTGTGAATGTAATACACATTACTTATTTACCGGTATAGATCAATAATCTGAAACATTTTCGTCTTTTAAATCGATTTATTTGAAATTAAATTAATTATTGTTTTTATCTATCGCCAACTTATATACCCTTACACTAGTGTTCAAACTGTAAAATATACTCACAATTTATTTTATAGATTAAAACTTTCTTCAGTCCCCCCTTCCTTTGAACAACGCTTTAATACATAAATTAATGTTGTACGCGTGAAAAACTTATTGTTTTTAGATTTTGAGTGTGGCGAGCATTTTAGCCATTCAAAATTTTCAAATTTGTTTAGTTTTTTATTTCGTTTTTATGTGGTTCAAATTTTTTTCGGCTTATGAAAAATATGCTCGAAAACTGAATTCGATGGTTTGTCTTAAGTTGTGCCAAAGGCACCCTATGCAAATCCAAAAATCCGTGGTCACTATTTTTTTTTTTTATACATTTAAGAGTTTAAAGTTCAAAAGTTGATGGAAATCGTAAAATCTAAGGCGATTTGATGTACTTACTCTAAATTAGATGTGCGGATAACACTTTTTAGGCTTCGTAAAAAATGCTCAACAATTCGAGACGAAAAAACGCGGACAATAAATTACTATATTTTATTTTGTAGTAAAAAATTAACTGTATACTGCACAAACCAATTATTTAAGTTTATCAAAACATGTTTAACTGAACTTCGCTCAGAATCTTTTTTCGTTACCAAATAATTTATCGTCACGTACGATCCGAATTGATAATCGCTATGTATTTTTTATTTTATTAAATACACGAACGAAAACCGATTTACTCGATGTATTATTATTGTCACGGTCGGTTAATGTTTGCCGACCGTTCAAAATCCACGTGTTTGTTTATAGTACATCAGCCATTGTACACAGTTGTAAACGGCGTACGTTCTACAAAACATGGACGATATTATAATAATAATATAACGAGTACAATAATACAAAATATGAGCGTGTTCTATTGACAGAATGTACAATGCAGAATATATAGTATATTATAATAAACGTTTCTCGAACGAAAATAACGACAATTCCCTTTTTATCGACAGAAATACCGAATTATTACGTCTTGTAAGGCGTCGATAAAAAGACCTTAACCTTTAATTTGTAACGTAATATCTTATTTCTGTACTAACATGGTGAGTTTAACCTTTTATCAGACATTTTTTTTGGGGTGGGAAGGGGATGTGGGAACACTGAAATTCGTCACACCTACAGTAAAAATTAAGTAATCTATAATAGCATATATTATCTATGTATATTATATAAATAAAAATCAACTAACCTATAATTTTTGCTACAATCGATTATAGCTAGAGTATGACATGTCATGCAGAGTACTAATTCAAATAATTATAAAATATGATACGTAGGTGATTTTTTAAACGTGTTCATCCCATTTTTATCGTTAAATTATCATTATAATATATTCAAATATTAATTTTTAGAATTCGTAAATTAGTTAAAGAAAATATTTTCGAATACTTGGATTTTTCATAATATTTAAGGAGTATCCTGAAGCGATACCAACTTTGATTTTTCAAATGAAAATCTTCTTTTGATTGGTTGAAAATGTATTTATATATCTATTTAGATTAGTTGGTTTTAGTTATCGGTTTTTAAGGAACTGATAATCATCGATTATGATTATGAATTATTAGTTCCAATTATTACTATTATTATGGTTTTACTGATTTTAAATATTTGTTTTTATTAGTAAATATCAATTTTTATGCAATAATGCATCATTATTAAGTATTACACTAACATTAATAATCTCTAATAATATTTTCGTCTTTAAAATTTGTATTTTGTTCCCATTTCTTTAAATTTCCAGTGGGTAAAAAAATAATCTATTTCATACTGTAACTATATTTTGTTTTTATTCTTTATACATTAAATAAAGAAAAACCAGTATCGGTATCGAGAACCCAACTAAGAATCTTCGATTCAAAAGACCTTAAATATAGTAGATAATTGCTAGAATAGTTATCAAATAGAAGATAAACGATACATTAAAATTTAAGTATCTAGATTCTAGATAAAGGAAAAAAAAACAAATAATTAGGAACTTTTTATCTAAATAAAAAAAAAAATGTATTTATTTTATTCATTATTATCATGAATAAAACTATAATATTA